AACTCCCGAGAAGACCATTGGAAAGCAATCATTCGGGTTCTTAGATATTTAAGATTTACCCGTAATCATGATTTGAACTTTACTCGATATCCAGCAGTACTCGAAGGTTACTGTGATACCAATTGGATATCGAATATTAAAGATTCAAAATTCACTAGTGGATATGTCTTTACTCTGGAAGGCGCTGTTATTTCTTGGAAATCCATGAAACAAACATGCATCGCACGATCCACAATGGAATCTGAGTTCATTACTTTAGACAAAGCATGAGAAGAAGCAGAATGGCTTCGTCACTTCTTAGAAGACATTCCAATGTGGCCAAAACATGTGCTAGCTATTTGCATTCATTGTGATAGTCAATCTACAATAGGCAGGGCACAGAATCATATGTATAATGGTAAGTCATGACATATTCGTCGTCGACATAATACCGTAAGGCAATTGCTCTCAAATGGAATAATCTCAATAGATTATATAAAATCTAAAGAGAATATTGCAGATCCATTAGTAAAATGTTTGACAAAAAAGTAAGTGTATAGTTCATCGAAAGGGATGGAATTAAAGTTTATTACATAAGAGTCATCATAATGGTAACCTTACTTATATAACTGGAGATCCCAAGAACTAAATTCAAAAGAACAACTAAGTTATGTGTGGCTCGCCAGAAATCACCAAGGGATTAAAATTCCCTACCCATTCCTATGGTGAGAGTGATATTTTGCAACATATGTTGTATGCAGAGGTTTAAGGATAAGCTTTGCTTTTAATGATTACTTATATCTTGATTTAGGGGTAACAATCAAGACAAGCATAAGGAGATACTTACAATAAAAATTACCTATATGAGTGTCGAACTGGGGCCGGTTCTGTGAAAATGATGAGGTTAAATTCTCTAGAAGCACTCATGAACAACCAGGAGCGTTCAAGGCCAAAATGAACACATCCTTGAGAACCACGATGTGCCAGAAGATATTTTGTGTGAAATCTATTGTCTTGGATTACACAAACGGCTGAACAATTCAAGGCATCGCGTCCATTGGTTATCTAGTAAGTCCGATAGGTTATCACTAGAGAAGGTTTAAGGCCGAAAGCTACTTATCCTGATACAAGATATTTTTTATTTGTACTCTTTCGACAAATTCTACATATTGTTGCATTTCCGTTGTCATCAAATTCAATTCATATGGGGGATTGTTAGAAATGGTTTTGGAAGTTTTGGAAAAATCTGATTTTTTCTTAACTTTGGTCTATTTTTTAGGTGAGACCCATGCACCAAAGTTGGCGGGTCTAAGTGATAACGCGTTTCTATGTCGTGTTGTGATTCGCGTGGTATATTTGATTTCTCAAAACTATTATCGGGTGAATGAGAAATTAAAGCCAAAGTGAGCTCCATGGAAATGGAGTTTTTGGTGAAAATTCCTTAAGGTTTGGTTTAAAGCTTGTCCCACATTGATTTGATGGGCAAATTTTGAGTGGGTTTATAAAGCTTGAGTTTGGAACTTGGGGTAGGTCCCAAGGGACACCCAAGTTTTGCAAAGAGGGAGGTTATGGGCAAAGTGAGCTAGACCTATTGGACCCAAAATAAACACGCGCACGCGCCGCCGCCGCCGCGGACCGGTTAGGCTAGGCTTAGGCACAGGTGTGAGGTTGGGTTGGGCTTGTCCGGCCCAATACTTATCTTTTTGGGCCAAAAATATTTGAATTTATTTTGTTTATTTAGAAATAAAATCTGTCTATTTTTTATTTCAAATTCTGGTTGGAAATTAAATTCAAATTTTGGTTGGAAAATTTGCACCTTTTTGTACAAATTTTGAATCTGTTCGAACAGATTCAGTTTTCTCCCTTACTTGTTTAATTTAAAATTCAAACAGATTTGTATCTGTTTAATTTAAACCGAACAGGTACCATACCTGTTGGATTCAAACCAAACAGCCACCATTTTCCTATATAAATAGGCAGTCTCTCATTTTGTTTTTCACTCCAATTTTCGTTCTTCTCTGTTGCCATTCATCTCTGTATTTTGTTGCGTTGTTTTCTTGTGAGAAAGAGATAGTGTAAACACAAAGTGTGTTCGTTGTGCAAACAATTTATAGTACTACTATTGTTTGTTGTTGATCATTTTATCCTGGGAGATAGATGCCCACAATCTAAAAGTACTGTGAAGAGGACGAATCTGTCTTAAGGACACAGTGTTAAACACTGAATTTGATCAGAAAATTTGTTCAACAAATTAATTTGGTAAGTAATTAATTTACTTTTCTATTTTATTATTTTTTTCTGTTTCTGTTTCAGATTTTTATTTTGTTTTTGTAACCAAAAAAAAAAATCTGTTTTATTTATTTTATTTTATTTTCTGGTTTGATTTTTGTAATCAAACAAACTTTCTCTTCTTTATTTTATTTCTTCTGTATTCTGTTTGTTGTTAATCACACAAACTGAATTTATTTTTTAAAGACAGTGAACATTTGCCAACTGACTTTTGTGAGAGGAGTCAATCTAATTTGAATTTTGCACAAGTGACGCTGGTAATTTCAAATTTGGGGTGAGATGATATGGTTTGGGGAAAGACTTGAGGGTGAATGTGAGTTTGTTTGGGAAGTGGGTTGGCTTTTTAGTTTTTTGATTTTTTTAACTTTTGTGAGAGAAAGAATGTAATAATTATGAGTTTAATGTGATATCTTGTCTTATTGAGTTAAAAAATTTATTTTATCTTTTTGTAATTAAAATAGGCCTAAACTCAACCCAATCCAAGTTGCCAAACGAAGGCGAAAGGTGATGAAAGGGGCGATGAGTGGTAGTTGAGGGTTTGCAGAGGGTGACAATAGCAGTGGTAGTGGTGGCTGACCCGAATGGTTTCTTGGTTTAGGTTTTAACTAACAGAAATGCTACATTTCTCTAATTTAGGAGTTCTAAAAAAACACTAATGATGTGAAAAATTAAAAAAAAAAAAAAATTTCAAGGCCAAAATATTATATTACATGAGACCCACACACTAATTAAAACTATTAGATCTCTTAATCTAGAGCCCTCAATCTTTTTTTTCTTTAACAAAAAAAGGTGAGAGAGAAAGTAAATGTAAAATAATTTTGAAAAGTCAAATTTCATTAGTACAAAATAATTTTTCAAGTTACTATTTATATGATTTTTTTTTTTTTAAATGTCACTAAGGCATTATTTGTCATAAACACTTATTTAGATAAGTGTATTTATTAATGTTATATCACATCTCTATTATTTTACACATTATTTTATAAAAGTCAAAAATATATATTTTAAACCATACCAAACAAAGTGCGAATTGTAATTACTTGCCCACGCTCCACTTTCCAATTTTTCTTCGTGTATTTGACCAATCATGATGCGTTGGCAAATATTCAAATTGAACAAATATAAAAAATAGTATACAAGCCTTTATCTTAGACTGGTACACAAACAAATTTTATATATAAAATAAATAAATGACAAAAATGAGAAACATCACATAAATGATAAACATAAAAAGTAATTACAAATTAATAAAGTGTAAAGTGAAAACCGTGAAAAATTATAAAATTCTTATTTACACCCACTTACCCTTATTGATTTATAATTTATAATTTATAATTTTTGTTTATTTAATATTCCCTCAAATAAAAAGAAAAAATTTCACATCAGTCTATAACTTAAAAATAATTACAAATTATAAATATTAATAATTAAAATTATAAAAAAATTTCACTAATATGTATTTTTTTTTTTCAAATTATGGTAGTTTTTCCCAATAAAAAAAAGGAGACAAAAAGGAAACCCCCCCCAAAAAAAAGAAAGGGTAAATAACAAATATATCCTTAAAATTTGCTTAAAAAATAATTTGCCTCTTATAGTTCTAGAAATTACATTTCAACCCTTGAAATTTCTAATTTCATAACAAATAACCTATTTTATAAAAAATAAAATATCAAGTCAAGTAATAGTTTTTAATGATATCATAAATTTATTTCAATTACTGATAATTTAGGTAATTTTATCATTGTATAAGAGAATAGTTACAAATTTTAATTTTTCAGTTAATTCTGTTAAATAAAAAATGCTGATTATAATTTTCCAAACGATAAGAGGCAATCTGTATTTTAAACAAATCTCAATGGGTGTATTTGTAATTTATCGAAAAACACTAATACTGTGTTTGGTTGAGAGATTTGGGAAGGAATTTAAAAAAAAAAAGAAAAAAAGAAAAAGGAAAAATGTGCATAAAATTAAGTGAAATGTAGGCATATTTTATTTATATTTTACCTAACTTTTCTCTTTTACTTTCTAAATCTCTTTGCAAATTTCCCAACTAAACACAAAGTAACCGATCTCCATTGAAGTGGCTCTCATTTCATATGAATTCATCCAGGCCATTGAAAAACCGCTCATACCACTTAACAGTATAGTGAACATACATACAGGAGTGTTTTGGGAATGACCTTTTTTGGCCTTTTTTATTTATTTTCGTCTTTGATAAATTTTTTAAAAAATTTTCAACAAATTTTAAATTTCTAAATAAAACTAGTCGAAAAACGGCAATGATTGGTGGCCACAAATTCTGTGGCTCAAATGGTCCAAAAATGCTAAAACGACGTCGTTTTGGGTACAAAATAACTCTAAAAATGTCAAAACAACGTCGTTTTGGCATTTTCAGACTATTTGAGTCACAGAATTTGTGTCCACTAAATATTTTTCTTTTTGTTTTTAGTGATTCTTTTTAGAATTTTTCAAAAAAATATATTTTTAAATTCATCTTGATAAGACAGATCGGAAAAATAAAAAATTTTGACATAATTTTAATTAAAAAAAATCATTAAAAACAAAAAAAAAATTCAAAAAAAGAAATGTTTTATAATTTTTTTTTTCGTTGCCAAAGTGGGCCACAGTAACCCTACCAGGTTTTGTTGTTGTCAATCCCAAACACTTCCCATTCTGTGTAATTTCTGGGGCTTTTCTTTGCACCTCCCAACAGAACTGCTGAGTTCGTAAGATTCTATGCTTCCCATTCGCACTTTTTGCTTCAGATTCTCTGCAATTTTTTAGGGTTACTTCTCATTTCTGGATATTTTTTCTGATTGATCTTTCAATTCCTTCAGATTTCAATGGCTGCCAACAACGCCCCCTCTGCCCTAGAAAAAGAACAGGTACTTCATACATATACGCACACTTATATATATTTATGCTTATGAGATGGGCAAATTATTAACTGGAAAAGATTACTTTTTGATGATTTTGTGCAGATCTTTGGACTGGCAGAGAAGGAGATGGAGTACAGGGTAGATTTGTTTAACAAGTAGGTCTATCAATCTTCTAGATTTGAAGTCTTTTTAATGTATAGAAATGTTATGCATATTCAATGAATAAATTTTGCTTTTTAACTATTAGTTTAATGGAAATGATTTTTCTGTAAATGGGTGTACTTTCTTTCATGTTGATATTGTTCTTTGTTTGAATAAATTTGGAATTTATACAAAGATGAGCAGAGTGGGATAGTTGGGTGTTCTTGAGCCAAGCTCCAATGATATCTGTATTTTTGGCATGTGAATGTACAATATGAGAATAAGCTAGAAGTGGCCATGGCATTACTTATGGAACTTGGATTCATTGTTGGCTTAAATCTTATGGTGGATACTTGACAATGTACCGATTGTAACCTCAAGAAGTGGACACAACAGGAGAGGGGGTTGGCGCAATTGCAGCCACTACACTAGTACTTGTTTGGGCATTAGTTTCAATAGCCATGAATTCTAAATTATAAAACAAAATTATAATTAGAATTTAGGGAAAATTATCAGAAAGTCCTATTTACTAATCTATTACTCCATCTGGTCCCACATTCATTCTCTTGGATTGACAAGTCCTGTTTGGTATGTTTTGTGGACAATCAGGTCCCGTTTTAAATTTATGTAGTGTGTGTGGACGGGTTTGACCCTCTTTTGTTTTTTCTTTACAGATGTATATTGGGATTGAATGCAGATTTTGTGGGATACGTTTCCTGATCCACGTTTGGTAATTCAGATCCATGTTTTTGGGTTATGGCGTCCCACAACACTGCGTGGACCAACAAATGTGAACCCAACAAATCAACAATTTCCGTGAACCATAAGCACATCGGACGGTGGAAGCGCTGTTAAAACCCCAAATGTATCCAAGACGTCGGCGATTTCTTCAGTTTTCGGATGATATAAGCTCCATGCAGTTTCTTCACCATTTCAAAGAGGAAGCTAATCTAGAACCTCGAAATCAATTGCACTGCAAGAATCAACGCCTGGGTTGACTTAATGAGAGCTTCCTCACCAACCCATGTCAAATCCACCACCCCTTCTTCTCTCTCTGAAGACCAAAGTTCTTGGATTGTGAGTACTCTCTCTCTCTCTCTCTCTCTCTCTCTCTCTCTCTCTCTCTCTGTTCATAAATTGTACAGGTACTAAGAAATAAAAGAAAAGAAAAGAAAGCAAATACCTTGTCTCTACACCTCCCACTCACAATAGCAGTGGGAAAATATCTAGCACGTTTTCTCACTGTAGTTCTCATCTGTGATATCAAAGTCGTAAAATCATGTTAGCAAAAATAGAGAAATTTGTGGATAAAATACAAGATTGGGCACGAGGAGGAGAAGAACTGACTGCATCGGACATGTACGCTCGATCAGGGTCTTCAACTATGGGCGAAAGCGTGCCATCGTAGTCTAGAAACATCACTATTTTCTTCCCCTTTGAAGCGTTTGTTATCTGCTCGAACATTTCCAGTGCTGATGGGTGTACCATCTCGATTGAGTCTTCAGATCCGCGTTGATGACTCCATAGGAGGGCGGGAGATTGAGAGCTGAGACGAGAATCGGTGGGATTGGCTGAAGCATCACCCGTCGTACCCTGCTGGAACAGGTGGTCGGAATCTGCGTGAACCCAACCAATGGCTTCGGTTCACGTCGAAATGTCACAAATGGCAATTGGAAAACAAAGGGTTAAACTGTGGAAAAGACGAAACGTGACACAACTCACGTCACAAAAAAAAAAAAAAGGGGTCAAATTATTTGTGTTCACGGCACAACCTACGTCTCATGTTTTGAGTGTTACACACTTACTAAATTAAAAAAAAAAGTATTAGTGTGCTTTTTCGATTAACGTGACATACAAACACCCATTCACCTTATCCCATACAAACCCACACCAAATGTCAATCAATAATACTAGTAGTGGCAAAACTGTCAACAAACAAATTAAGGGATCATCCAGTCACTAAGAAAACATTCAGGACCTTATGAATTACAAGTCCACAAAATGAGATTTACTAGTCAATTCCCCTTAAAAAAATTCAGAAAAGACCAAAATAAATATTTTTTTAACTTATTTTTGTTTTTAGTGATTCTTTTTAGAATTTTTCAAAAAAATATTTTTTTAAATTCATCTACAGATCGGAAAAATAAAAAATTTTGACATAATTTTAATTAAAAAAAATCATTAAAAACAAAAAAAAAAAATCAAAAAAAAGAAATGTTTTATAATTTTTTTTTTCGTTGCCAAAGTGGGCCACAGTAACCCTACCAGGTTTTGTTGTTGTCAATCCCAAACACTTCCCATTCTGTGTAATTTCTGGGGCTTTTCTTTGCACCTCCCAACAGAACTGCTGAGTTCGTAAGATTCTATGCTTCCCATTCGCACTTTTTGCTTCAGATTCTCTGCAATTTTTTAGGGTTACTTCTCATTTCTGGATATTTTTTCTGATTGATCTTTCAATTCCTTCAGATTTCAATGGCTGCCAACAACGCCCCCTCTGCCCTAGAAAAAGAACAGGTACTTCATACATATACGCACACTTATATATATTTATGCTTATGAGATGGGCAAATTATTAACTGGAAAAGATTACTTTTTGATGATTTTGTGCAGATCTTTGGACTGGCAGAGAAGGAGATGGAGTACAGGGTAGATTTGTTTAACAAGTAGGTCTATCAATCTTCTAGATTTGAAGTCTTTTTAATGTATAGAAATGTTATGCATATTCAATGAATAAATTTTGCTTTTTAACTATTAGTTTAATGGAAATGATTTTTCTGTAAATTGGTGTACTTTCTTTCATGTTGATATTGTTCTTTATTTGAATAAATTTGGAATTTATACAAAGATGAGCAGAGTGGGATAGTTGGGTGTTCTTGAGCCAAGCTCCAATGATATCTGTATTTTTGGCATGTGAATGTACAATATGAGAATAAGCTAGAAGTGGCCATGGCATTACTTATGGAACTTGTATTCATTGTTGGCTTAAATCTTATGGTGGATACTTGACAATGTACCTATTGTAACCTCAAGAAGTGGATTTTTCTTCATCATATAAAATCCGCAAGTCAGTCTTCCCAAGGCATTGTTACAGTATATATGATACTCTGTTAGTTTGCTTCATGTATATTAATAAATGGCAAGGTATAGTGTTCTAGTTACTTGCTACTTGCAATAATTTCACATTTTTTTTTTCTCTTTTTGTTTTTTCCTTTCTTCAACGTCAATAATGGCTTCAAACTTGTAGGCTTCAAAATGCTGAAAAGAAAAATTAATGCTTAAAAAAAAAAAAAAAACCATTTGACAATTGTGTTGTATGCCCATATATAACACACAATGTATTACCTGCATTTGGAAAATTTTGCATTTGGCATGTGGCACTTTCTGACATTTTAACTTTGGTTATTTTATTCAGGCTCACCCAAACATGTTTTACAAAATGTATTGAGAACAGGTATGACTTTTCTATCTTTCTGAATTTCTTTTTCGTGCATGAATTTTGGAATATGAACATCTTTTGATTTTGAACTGTTTTGAGATGTTTGCTCATAAAATATGAAGCAATTTGACCCCTTTTTTAATTATATAATTCCTACTTTTCTGAAAAAAAATACTTCATGAGGATACTGAACCTTGATGTTGAGCAATTTCTGAAGCATGTAGATTTCTTTCTTTCTTTCTTTCTTTCTTTCTTTCTGTTTGGATGAAACAAATTCTAAACAATGTGAAACTAATTTTAAACAATTCCTATCGTGGTAATTTTAGTTTGAGACTGGTAATTCATGAAGTTCACCTTTCCTATTTCAGACACAAGGAATCTGAGTTGAATATGGGTGAAAATAGTTGCATTGACCGCTGTGTATCAAAATACTGGCAGGTAAATTATGAACTGTGTACTTGCAAATTGCAGCTTATATTGCATTCACATGACTGATTGAACCACTGGTATATAAATTGGCTTTTTTGCTCCCTTCTGGTTAAATAAACTTTGCTGAGTTTCATCATTGGTAATAGGAGGAAAGTGCTGCATCTGCTAAATCTTTCCTTTTCCTGAAAGATTTTAAGAGAATTCAGTGATGGCCAATGGCTACATGCTCCAAACTGTCATAGTGGCCCTTCCCTTTTTTTCTGTCCTAAATGTGCTCATTTGCATCATCTTGATGCTTAGCTGCTGCATCTCCTGATTTTCTTGAGTGATGGCATTGCATTGGAATATAGATCCCATCTATTTTGAACTCTTAACTCAAAATAGATTTCAATTGAGTGTCAAATTATTCATGCACTTACCTATTCCTCTCCACACCTGCTTGTTTTCCCCCTTCATACTTTGTAGGGCATGATATAGAGATTTTTTTAAAATTTTTTTTTTTAAATTTTTGGGTACAAACCCACATTACAAACCTTGGGGAAGGCAAAAACATAAATAAATAAATAAAATAAAACCTTCTTGAGTTGCTTTTTGGACCTTGCTTGAAAGTGCTATGTCTATTTTGTGATGCTTGGTGCTGTAAATATTATCATTTTCCTAATTCTTTCATTTTTAAATTAATTTTGCAGGTGACTAACCTAGTTGGGCAGCTGCTGGGTTCCAATCGGCCTCCAATGTGAAAGATCTTCTTGGCCTGTTCACTATTAAGATTCGACATGTTATCACATGCTCTCATGTATGATGAGCCTAATAACATGTATTTTCATTTTCTGCTCATGTGGCACATGAAACAAAAATAGGAAACTGAAAGTGACCACTATTATTTTCATTCTTGTTTTTAAATCTTTGCATGTCCCATAAAATCGTTAATTTTGAATTGATTTTAGTGGTTTTATCGTAATGATGTGTACGGAAAAATCTTTTTTAGTAAGATTTCTAAATGTGTTTGGAAGGAACTCAAAGCAATTTCATTTTGTAATCGAGATTCTATTGGCATCATACCTGGGAGTTGTTCTTGTTACACATGCAGGTTACTTGATTTGTTGGCACTGTTATGATTTGCTGCTGATCTTTTTTTTTCAGTGTTAGATGAGATGCTAATCAATTTTTGCAGAAAGTGTGTGATTCGGTGCGACGACTATATGATGTGCTACTATCTTTTGTTGCAGAGCATGAAGTGAGATCATCCAAATTATTGGAAGTTTTGGCCCAATGTCCATTATAAAGTAGGGTTTTCAGGAGAAAAATTGGAGAACTGAAAGTTATTTCGTCACAACGGTCAAATTTTGGTTTTTTTTGTTTTTTTGTAATTTTCACAAGATTTTTAAAGCAACCATTTCTATAATATTGTGTCATATTTTTTTTACTTTTTCAAAACAGTATGTCATTGTTCTTGCTGTTTCTGTTGATATATCATTTTTTTAGGGTTGCAATATATTCTTCTATTGATATTTCATTCCTTATGTGCACCTTAAATAAATGAGTAAATTATTCACAAGTCCCTGAACTTTTTAATCAAGCTCTTGAGGTTAATTTTCCTTCAATTAAGTCCTCTAACTTCTGTAATTTGTTTAATGTGGCCCTTCAAACTGTTAAATATACATTATGTTATCCAACTAAAAGGTCAATTATAAATTTGCTTTCTTAATACCAAAAAAAATTAAGTAATCAAAGAACCAACACTCTCTAGGGTTAATTTATCAATTTATCCTTTAGATTGGTTTTATATCATAAACTGAATTACCAAAAGTAGACAAAATATAGTGGCTAAATTGAACCAATTTAGAAGGTTAAACGGCATATTTGAAGAACAAATTAATTTAGAGGCATAATCGGAAACAAAAAATGTAACGTTTAAGCACTACTAGTATAATTTACTCCAATTAAAATTTGTACAACATTTTGTAGAATTGTCCCCCAGAAAGCAACAAACCAACACAATAAAGCCTTTTAAGTTGAGGAAGAGATGAAAAATGTGATTCTTATAATTGCAGTAGTGCATAAAAACAGACACTCAGATCAAGAGAGCTGAAGGAATTAAAATCAAGGCCAAACAATAAATATCTTTTGATGTATCAAGAAAACCAAAATGGCAAAAGAAAACTTAGGATAGATACAAGAAACTAGAGCAAAAGATTATCAAAAAATAAAGAAAATGAAAGAACAACCTATACACATTCAATTTTTGTTCCTCTTGGCTTCTAAGTTTGTGCCCTCTTTGAGTGATTCTTGAGCATCAGTATCCATCCCAAGGCTGAAGAGGGCAGCCGCCTGAAGGTAGGAAGCGGTGGGCCACTCAGGTGACACTGTCTGGGCTTGCATAGCGTCTCCGAGAGCTTCTTGTGGCATGTCACTCATTAGGAAAGACAAGCAGCGCCTAGCAAACACGGTTGGCGATACCATGGTGCCACCATCAATGAACTACAAAATACATGGAAAATATAATTCATGCCTTTTGTCTAAAACAAAATCAATTTTTTGAGATAATCCCAAACTGACAACAATCATTAGTCATCCAACAACTATACGGTCCAAAAACCTAAACCAGTTGTGCACAAAGCAATGGTAGGTTCTACAATTGGCAACAAAAGGTTGCCTAGTACAACTGAACTACACATCTTCAGTACGTCTATATTCATCTATGTTATATGGATTCGGGTACAAGTGTCGGGTGGGTGCGGATCTAAAAGTAGGACCCATCAAACCTCAAATTTAAGGCCTTGTTTGGGGTGTACTAATAAGTACACACTTTTTATCTTTTTATCTTTTTTCCATCACATCACCTCTCTACTTTTCTGCACATCTTTTCCTAAAAAGTCAAAAAGTACACTTATTTATATCATCCCAAACCACCCCTTAAGTGTACGTAGACTCAACAGAAAAAAGGATCATTTTTTTTAAAATTTTAATCTATTATGTGAGATAAAATTGTGTTATATGTAATACACAAGGAAAAAGCGAGAATACAAAAATTCTGCTCATGCTATGCCATATATAATTAGCTAGTTCACTATCTACCAGCAAATGATTGATATCTTCGCATGTCAAAAAGATATTTCGCTCATTTTATAGTAGTTATACAATAATACATACACGTAATGATAGTCATAGTTGCCAAATTGGGATTCGTATGGTGAATCGAAATGATCTCGTACCGAATCGCGAATCGAATCGTGAATTGTAAAGATTCGGTCACTTTTTCTAAATTACTTAAAAATATATATTTACACATTTACATGTTAAATATATCTTATAAATATGAAATATTTAGACTTAAATCAATGAAAATGTTGCTTTGAATGCTAATCATGCAGTTTAATAGATAAGAAGTTAACAAATGTTCCTATGTAAAATCTCCATCTTACCTTTTTTCTTTTTTAGATATTTCTTATCAACCATTCTTAATAAAAATAATAACCAAATAGACAAACTATCAAATTCCAAAGGAACAATAATTAATAACGATATTGATATTTGGACAATAAGCACACATACTTTTCTAAGTAACAGTGAACAAATCATAAGAAAGAATTATTTAGAATCTTTTATTTTAAAACCTAAAACATTTTAAAAGATATAACTGACCTCACGCATGTAATATTCAATTATATTCAATTTAAAAAAATAACAATAGATAATTCATAGTATGACTTTAATCTTAAACATCTTTATAAGATATGTTATGATTTTTTAAAGGGAAAAAAAAATAAGAAGAAAAGTTAAAAATATATTGGATTTGACTGAATCTGATTGGATCTTATTAAAAACTCCATGATCACTAAAATAACAACAAATCATGTATATATGTTGGTTATTTTGATATTAAATACTATTAGAAATTGTATTATGTCATTTTTACTAAAAAGATGGAGAAAAAAAGAGTCGAAAATATGTCGGACACAATAATTTTAAAAATTGTATGAATCGTAAAAAGTAAATCGAATCGTGAATCGTGTGATTCACACTAGAAATTCACTTCTAAAATAAATTTACCTATAAATTCGTATCGATTTTGCAAAATTGCAAATCAAATCAAGAATCGTAAGATTTTGATAACAGAGATGATAGTGTGAAACAAAAATATATAAGAAATGTCCAATGAAAAGTGTCGGATGACACATATCTCAGAGCCTTGTCTTAGTGTTGGGTATTTGACACGGATATTTGATTTATTTGGAAGAATAAATGTAACATACATTTTCAATCTTTTCAGTGCAAGACGTATAGTTTTGGTCTTCTCCCACTAATTAAGCCTCCATATGCATGACTTACGTATTCACCGTTTTCTAATTTTTCTTCTTATTTATTTTTGGACTTGGGAAACATGGCTGTGCAAACTAATTTTTAAGATAAGGAAGTGCCTCTTCTAACATATCAGAAATTATTGATGAATTTCTATTAAAAAAAATTCAACAAAGTACTCACTTGCGTGTAGCAATCAATGGCAGTTGCAAAGTCCTTGGCTCGAAAAGCAGCATCTCCTTGCTTCTTAGAATTCAAGGTCTCCTGCATTTGATTTGTCCACATTTGAAAAGAAAGCTGCAAACCAAAAATACTCCAATTATATTAGTGAAGCAATTACTAATTAGGGGGGAGAGAGAGAGAGAGATGACGCCATAAATAATAATGTTGAGCACAAATTTCCAAATTATCGAATATAAGAAGTGAAAGAGCACAAGATTGTCACAATAAGGGGAATAAAAGGTGAAAGAAACAGCAAATAGATCAGAGCAAGAGCAGAACACATCATTTAGGTTTAGACCACTGACATAACAAAGAGAATTTGCTTACTATGTTGCTTCCCATTTTAGAACAATAAGATACATAGAGAGACAAATCTTTAATACTGACAAGAAATTTAAAGTCAAATGTACGTATAGCAATAACAAACCTCATTTGCAATCCCCTCATCATCCTTGTATCCAATCTTCTCCAATATTTCGTGTATGGCAGTGAGATCCGTTCGCAAGCAAGCTTCACCCAATGGTGTCAGTAGCAATGGCTGTTTTGAGGCAGTTCCATGCGGGATACTCATCAAAACATATGATGGAACCTGATTGAATGCATTGAAATGAAAGAATTTTTTTTTATCACAGCCTTTATAATAAGCATGATTTCTACTATTTGGACAGATATCAAACAAATGAAAGTAACATGAAAAGTACTTCTACCTTATCAGCCAAATTCATAAGTTTATGACAAAAACTGAATTTGCTTTCCTCAACCAGTAAAACAAACGAGAAAAAATATCAAAAGAAACACTTCCCATGGGAAATTACAGGTTATGAAGTCATAATCTATGACAACGCAGACACAGGAGAAAGGGCAAATTCATAAAGTAACAAGCATGAAGTCATCAATTAGAATGACACTCCACAAATTTCAGATAGAAAAAAGGAAAGGGGTGAATTCATCTGTTTTGTGCATACCTCTGATTCTTTCTGAAGAGACATAAGAGCAACAACAAGGGATTTTGCATTGGGCCTCTCACGAGCTTCATACTGCAAACAACGGGAAGCTAACCGCACCAGTTCAGTTTCATCATCATTTGTGAAATGACCCTCCAAACAAGAATCCATCAGCATAGTGAAATTCTTGCCACGAATCAGGTCAAGTGCCTGCAAGAAAGGAATAAAGACAGTGGCATCTCAAATTTTGGTACTCAACTAATTTAACTTACTAACATAAAAACTCTTTAGTCATCAGAAGTCAGTAATGAGAACAAATTGCATTTTTAGAATTTGACCAAGTCTCTAAAATTTAACTTGGAAATCAATATTATGTGCGCCAACCATACCACGACTTTTAGAATTCTATCAATATTAATGGCAAAGTGCCTTACAATTCAAATATATATATATATATATTTAAATCTTGGGTAAATATGGTGATCGCATGCTTGTTGAATGTTTAGTGTGGCCCAATAAGATTGACATTATAAGAAAATACAAATGGATAGTATTACATCCAACAAAAATTATTATAAAGAAATGAAAGCTACATGGCTTGGGGGAATATGTTTGCCACTCAGAAGATCTAGAAGCAGGGTTCCGAAGCTGTAAACTACACTTTCTGGAGTCACTCTTCCTGCCAAAAATAGACATACGTAAGCTTGTTACTTTTAGTTTAAATCAAACATAATTGGCAATTCCACAACTATAACAAAAATAATGCACCATGTTTGCAATGAGAGAAGATAATTGTGGGTCAGAATAACTAATACAATGAATATATGGAAGAGAAACAAAATTAAAGCAACAATATCAAATTAACAATCTGTTGACAAATCAACATCTTTAAAACAATGCTGGAATGTAACTAGCAAAAAGATGATGTAGCTGTTACAAAAACAAACACTGAATAGCAACAACTACTAGTACTGACCTGTTCTCAGGTACTCTGGAGGGGTAAAAGCCAAGTTTGTACTATAACTCTTGCCATCTCTGCTGTTCTTCATGAGGCCAAAGCAAGATAGCCTAGGATTGCCATCCTGTATACACAGCCAACTCAAAATAAGAATCATATACTAAAACAAGTATATCAATGAGCAAGCTATCGGCAGAAACCACTTCACCTTATCAAACAAGATTCTGTAAGCGTTCAGATCGTGATACAGGGCGCGCCCTTTACTACTGCAATATTCCAGAGCTTGTGCCAAGTACAAGGCCACCCTCAATCTCATTGCCCATTTCATGGGCTGGTTCTCCCCTAAGCCAATTCAACACATAACCAAGTAAGAAAGGTAATAAGCCATAGACAGATATTTTAGATATAACAAAGTATGAATCAAATGATTTTGTAGAAGAGATCGGCTATACTTCACCATGAGCGATGCTAGGAACACATAATAGATAGGCTTGGATTAAACCCAATTATGGAGGGGTCCGCTATCAGAATAAATCTCAATCTATAATTGCAATTTCTGTTTACCCATTCTGTATTTTAATTTAGTTTTCTTAGCATTATTGATTTATATACATTGTAGTCAAATTAAGAATGTTAATACGGGTCCTACTAGCAACCACACAATAAGTGTTAGTTAAGGAGCAAATAATGTCAAAAAAAGTTAGAATAATACCAATATACATTTCACATATATGAATACATATCAGCATTAACAAGCTTACCATATCTCTATTAATATTGCCAATTACCTAGCTCTTTAGCACAAAACTTGAAACAAATCAGTGATATAAATCTTGATGAAAAGTAAATTTTAAGTCCAGTGTTAACAATTACTAAAAACCACATAATAAATGCAAGTTGTTGAAGCAAACCAATTAACAAATGCATTTCAAATTTTCCACAATTCACCATATAAAGTGTTCACACTGTACATTCTCAGCATTCAAAGATAATAAATAATCAATCACAAAACAGACAAGAACTCACAGTGGAAGAGATGCTTGGCAAGTGTTTCATGGGGCATAAACTCAGCAACAAGCAATCTCTCATCCCCTTCATAGCAACATCCAATCAGATTGGCCAATCTCTCACTCCTCAGACTCCCCACAGATCTTGCTTCCTCCTAAACCACACAAACCAATCACACCAATTCAAATACTAACGGTCCAAAAAAAAAAAAAAAAATTCAAAAACTAAAAATTGAACTGAACTAACAATGAATTGGCGAGAATCAGGCCAAGCAGTCTTGTGGAACCGCTTAACGGCGATCCACCGATCGTTATCGAGGTTTCCTCTGTAAACAACGTTTGGGGCTTTCTCTCCATGTTCTGATACAATGTTCTCCGAAGAAAACCCATTTGTCGCAGCTTTGAGCTCTTCTAAGCTGAACTCACTGAAGCTAGGTAATGAGTGTCGGTCATTTTTATCCCCATTTTCTGTACCAATTTTCACAATACAAGGTGAAAATCATCGAATTAGTATGAAATACAATGTTTTTACTTGTGGGTATGTCTATATATATACACAGAGAGAGAGAGAGAGAGGGAACTTGCCGAGATCAGTGGATTCGAGAACGGTGGGTTTGAGGTGAGAGTGCCACCAGCAGAGAGAGAACTTGGAGCAACGGGCACCCATTGCGGCGGAGACGGAGGGGAGAGAGACAGAGAGAGATCAAAATAAGAGCATTGGTTGTGAAACACACAGTGAGACAAAGGCTAAGAAGAGCTGTCAAGCTTCAGTTTGTGAGGGAAGAAAAAAAAAAGGAGAGAAAAAGTGGGAATGATAGCTAGCTCAGAGAGAGAGAGAGTGTGTGTTTGTGTTTGTATGGAAGAGCTACAGAGAAGATTTGTGGATCCAAGGATTTTTAACCCCTTTTCTCTCTCTGCTATTGCAAATCATATATATATACAGAAACGAAGGATTGAGTCTCTCTCTCTCTCTCTCTCACTACATGCGTGTGTGTGATGTTGCAAAATGCAAAGGGCCTTTTCACACTTTCTCTTTCTCTGCTTTCTGGTTTCAGCTTTGTGCTTTTCCTGCGTTTCAACGTCCTCATCATCATTCCACTTTTGTGCTCTCCCTCTCTCTAGTCTCTGTCTAATTCGGTGATTTTTATGGATTGTTTTTAAGAGTTATGCGAGGAATTTCAAACAAAGTAATACCACGTATTTTGAATTAGATCTTGGTTTGAATGGTATGAATTTTTGTTTATAGGTCATCCGGCCGGTTGTTTGGTAAAAAAATTGACGGTTGCAATTGATAAGGTAACAATTACGATTGTCAATTATTTTGTCAGATAATTAGGGAATAGAAATTTGAGTCATTTGAACCAAGGTCAATTAGGCACAAAGAATTACACTTTTAAATATTCAATTAAATATTTTATCAAATCTTTTAAATGAGTATGAGATCTATACATATGTGAATTTAGAAAAATGTGTCGTAACTCAAATTTTGTGGCTCAAAAGTGGCTCAAAAGTGGCTCAAACGGCCAAAACGACGTCGTTTTGGTTATTTTTATGTTGTTTTGTACTAAAAACGACGTCGTTTTGGCCATTTGAGCCACAAAATTTGAGCTACGTAGCATTGTCGGTGAATTTATATGAGTTTCACGTAATAATGTAAGAGTCTCACCTAATGTAAGAAGTTTACTAAAATATTTAAAATACATATCATTTCTCTATTTTTAATATTTGGTTTCTCTCCCCGTTAAAATTGGACATCTTAATTTTTTCAAATTCTTTCGTTTATTAATTTTTATCAAAAATTTTAACGGTCTAATTCAGTTAAAATTTTGACTAAAAACAAGTCATTTCCTATTTTTATTATTTTAATTTTTTCTTTTTTTAACTAATTTTAATTTTCGCTTAATACTTGTTTTTGGCCATTGATCCTCTCAAAGGATTTTCATTAGCATATATGTAATTGCTATAAAATAAGGATGTAAATTTATAATTAGTTCAAATTTAAAAAATGTAAATTTATAATTACTATAAAATAAGGATTTTCTTTTATTCATAATTTTTTTCACTTAGTTTAAATTATTATTTTTTATGTTTTAATAAGTTTTATGAGTGGTATAGTTACTAAAATATCTTTAATAATAAAATGCACATTAATGTTCATATTGACATTGTAAATATTTAATGATGTGAGCATTTACACTATCAATTTTATTTAATCTGAATGTTCACATCATTAAATTGTTAAGGATTGGGAAAATATTTATAAGAGTAAAATTGTTTATAAAATGCTTTAAATATAAAAATTAAGATTTAGTAGATCAAACATTCAAAATAATAGAACTTATTAAAATATAAGAATATTTTATGAACTAATTAAAATAGAAGTAAAGATTTTCTAATAAATTACCCCTAAAAAAATTATTACACTCATCGTTAAATAATGTAATAAAATATCTTCATTATAAATATGTGATTAAACAAATCGCAATCCCTGGTGTCTATCAATATTTTGGACAATGCTACATTATATAATCATATTTTTTAAAAGTAATTATTATATGTTATTTTCACATTACTTTCTTAATTAAAAATTATTACATTTTGTTATTTTAATATTTTAATTTACTTCAAACTTAACATTCTATTAATATTTTATTAAAAACGAGAACAAATAAGTGGCATGTGACGGTACCGGCCAATTTTATTAGTATCAAAATATTTATTCAAATTTTGATTTTTGTGTATATATTTTTTCATTGATTATAAAAGTGGCAATGTAATGATATATATATATATATATATAATAAGATAAGAAGCGTTTTAAATTATTAATATATTTTTGCCTTACTAGAACATTTAGATAACTCAGATCTGTTTAAATTATAAAATAAGGGTAGTGATATATCTTACGTGTATATTTTCTATTTTCTCACTTTTTTCTCTTACTTTTTTCTTTTCTCACATACCCTCCAATGATCCCATGAATAATCGCATAAATGATCCCATAATCTCATATTCCTCCTTTCGTTTTTATTTTTTTTATCCCCCCTTTTTATTTTCCCCCCTATTTATTTATTTATTATTTTATCCTTTTTGTTCACTTATTTTTATTTATACCATACCTTCAGTCATAGACATACACTACGTATGTGTGTATATATAATTTTATTTTAATTTTTACATACGTATGTGTGTATATATATTTTTTCATTGATTATAAAAGTGCCAATGTAATGATATATATTTATATATCTATATCTATGTAATGATGTATATATCTATATAAATAAAAAATTAATACATAATTTTTATACATAATAATATTGTTTAATGTAAACTAGTTACTTTAAAATGAAACTAGAAATTTTTTGTATACTAGGAGGACTTTTCACAAATTACAAATATATATGTTCCTTATTATTTCTTAAACACTCAACATAAATATAATATACTACACTGTCAAATTTAATCATAATAAAGAAATGTATCACGTGACATTTACCTAGGGGTGCAACTCGAGTGGGTTCGGTCGGGTTGGGGGTTTGCCCAAGCCCAGCCCGAATTGTATTTGGCAGTGCCTAAGCTCGACCATCAACCCGAGCATTGCTACCCAAGCCCCGACTAAGCTTTATATTTTGAACTCAAGTTAGCCCGAATTGACTAAATTGTTTGAAATTCACAAGTCCAGCAATCTGCTTCCACAAAGTAACCTGAGTACTGCTTAGCTATAAAAGAAAGAGACAGAGATTGACAATGGAATGTTGTTTGTAGCATCAAATAAAATAAACATAAACACAAACAACAAAGATATAAACAAATACACAGAAATTGAAGGCATATATTAAAAAATAAAAATAAAATCTAAGAACACAAAGTAAGATCTTAAGCATGTTTGGCAAACCCAAAAACAGAAAACAAAATCATCACACACAAAAAATCCAAACAAAGATCTACAGACCCAAATCAACAACCTCCGTTGGCTCAAAAAAAAAAAAATCATTTCTAACCAACATGAACAGATCCACAAACACAACAAACCAGCACAAAAAAGAACCGTAGAGAAGAGAAACGTACATATCAAAACCTAGCACCGAACGACAATCACTGATCTGTGGTAGCGAGAATTAGTGGCGCAGATGAGACCATGGCGTAAGAGAGAGATAGATTCAAGATAGATTTCAAATCTAGTGCATAAATTTGAGAGATAGCTCTTTAATTTATTTTTTATATATTATATAATTTATATAATATATTAAATTCAATTCGGATTCGGATTGCTCGGGTTGACTATTGATTCTGCTCAAGCCCGGCTTGAATTACAATTTGGACATCAAAAATCTACCCAGGCCCGTCCAGATTACAAGACATAGTTACCCAAGCCCTAAAAAAACTCGAGCTGGGCTCGGATTGCTCGGGTTGAGCCCGCCCGAGTTGCAACTCTACATTTACCCTTCTGCCACTTAAAAATTCCTTCGACAAAACGCTTAAGGGGGAAAGTTGGTTTTGGATCTTAAAATTAGAGAAAAATTAACTAATTTTAAGTAAACTAGGAAAAAATACAAACATTAAGGATCAAAATAAAAATAAAAATAAAAAAATTTAAAACTAAAGTAAGAAACTGTGGAACTTAAAAAGTAAAGTGTTACATGGTGACACATGACATTTTTCATTAAAAAATTAACAAAAGTTAGCATTTAGGACAAATTACAAAATAAAATAAAAACATTACAAACGTATTAAAAAAAAAATACCCTTCAAAAAAACAAAGTTAAAAAAAGATAAAATTTGAGAGGGTGAAAATGTAATTTACCCTTCAATTTTTAACCAATAGTGAATCAGCCATCATGATTAGCAGGACCAAGGGGGAACCAGAAAAAGAAAATTGAGAAACCAAACTGTGGATAAGCGGCGTCATGGGATTAGAAGTAGTCCGAATCCACGGTCGTTGTCGTTGGGTCAAAGTCAAAAGCAAAAGCAAAAGCAAAATCGATGATAAGCTTAATTAATTAATAATTAATAAAATAAAGGAACGTAATAAGACTTTTATTACTTTTAGGCCCGTCTGTTTTGAGGCATGAGAAAGGGATTGAGATTAAGTTAATTTTAGATCTTATTTAATGTGTTGTTTATTTATAGAGTTGAGGAAAGGACTGTTAAGTCCAAGGACTTAGAATAGGCCTTGCAGATGGTATTCGGATAGGCCTCCAGGATTTGGTATTAGAAAAATAGTTCGGCATACTAGAAATTTTTTTTTATTTTTATTTTTTAAATTTTTTTTACATATTGGGAATTTTTTTAAAAATATTAATATTTAATATTTTTGTATTTTTTTTATTTGTTTTATTATTTTATATTTATTATATATAACAATAATTTAACAATCCCTACACTAACAATTATCATCAAAACAAACACAATTTTACTTAATCCCCTCACTAATAATTCCCTCCATTCTACCTCTGAAAACAAACGGGGCCTTAATATAAAATATGTCACACACCAACTATATATTATTTTATTTTTTTACATATTTATAATAATATTGAACCTCCCACTATAACAACCGTTATAACTATAATTTGATTTAGTTAGTATTTTTAAAATTATTGATTAGTATGATTTTATTTGGTTCTTAACAATTTTAATACTATTTAGCTTTCGTATGGCTAGTTGAGTTGGGTTTGGAATTATTTTAACAAAAAAAAAAATAATAAAATAGACTTTTTAATCTAATAAGATAAAATGTCACATTTAACCCATAATTATTTTATTTTTTCTCTTACAAAAAGTCAAAAAAATTATCTTAAATGAAACTTTTTACCCCCGAGCTAAAATAGTTAAAAAGCCAACTCACTACCCAAATGAATTTTAATGTGTTTGGTCTAAGTTTTTTAAATTGAGTTTTCTGGAAATTGAATTTTTTATTTTTCGCATTTTTTTATTTTTAATGAATATTTTAAACAGTTTTTATTTTTATTTTTTTAGATGCACTTTATTTAGATATATCTAAATAACAAAATATTTTTAAAAATTAATAAATACAAAAAAATATAAAAAATGTACTAATTTTTTTTTTGGTATTTAGTGAATTTTTTTTAAAATTTGTTTACAAATATTATACTTTTTAAGTA